TTTGCGGTCCAATAAAATGCAAAGGATTTTATTTAAATCCCTCTTGTAACTGCACACCGCTCAAATATTCTGTTTCCCTGGAGATCCTCACAGCACAGAAGCTAAAGAAGCTCCAACTTTGGCTTCACCGGGACTTTAAGAGATGGTGCCACATGAACACAGTTCAAAGACGGTGTCTGACCCACCTTGGCGCTGAACTGGTTGAACTCTCCGTTCTCGTGGCCAGCGATGACGAACTCTCCCAGCGGTCCCCACACAGCGCTGGTTATCTTGTGGTCATTGCATGGTAGCGACAGGTAGGGCTGGTTGTCCTCTGCAGAGACAGAAACGCAGTTATTCTACCACACTACAACTGTAACAGAAGATAATCTCCTTTAAATATGATGTAATCATACAGTGATGTGTGACACCATGACTTTGTTAAATACTGAGAGAGAGCTACATCCTATTTCCTGCGGAGGAATATTGCAGTTTTTAATTAAATACAAATTCAACATTTGCAACGATGAATGATTTTCAATCCACTTACATGAATTTGCAGTACATATCTAATTATTGCTGCTAATGTAATAAAAAAAGAGCCACATAAGTTACTCTTTTGACTTTAGTGTGCCGTTACACCCCGGTGTGCAGTGCGTACCGATCTGCTGTGGATCCCTCAGGTCGAAGAAGTTCAGGAAGCACTGGTAACCCATCTGCTTGTCTGTGGAAAACATGATGATGTTGCCGCTGAAGTCGAAGCCGCACGTTCTGACAGCGGAGTTGGTGTCGAGCAGAGCCAGCTGTTTACCTGTTAGGCACAGAGACACGGGGAGTTAGTGGATGTAGGACACACGCTTTGTTCTTGGAGTGCAGCTCGTCTCTACATACCGGTCTGACAGTCCCACAGTCGACAGCTGTTGTCTGCGGATCCCGTCAATACGTTTTTAGTGTCCCCTGAGAGAGTGCACGTTAAGGAGCCCAGCATGTATGAGAACAGACACTGCATCACATGAACGCAATAAAACAACGCAAACAAGTGTGTTTCTTGAAGAAGGATACAGTCACAGTCCACACACCACACGGCTCCTGTGTGTCCATTGTAGGTGCCGAGCCTCTCTCCGTTGACAGAGTACCACACGTTGGTTACCTACAGTGGGAGACATTACAATATAAGTTAATACCAAACACAATTGCAGGTGGAATAACAAGATAACGGCAGAGCATGTGTTCGTTATCTCACCGTGTCTTTGGCTACAGAGAAGAGCAGGTCTCCTTCTCGGTTGTACTTGATTTGAGTGATGGACCTCTCGTGGCCCTGGAGCAGGATGGGTCTCTGGGGAGAGAGGGAGACCTGTTAACTTGATATAACAGTACAGCCATTTGCTTCAAATGAGGAGCAGGTGACTGACTCCATGAAGTGCTATGGCGTTTATTATTGAGGACAATAGGTGGTCGGTGATGACGAACCAGCTATACATGTTGTGTTTACTTAATTCATCTTAGCGTATTGTAGACCAGTGCAGTTCAAACAGCCGGTGAATCATCTTGCATCTCTCACAACATGCAGCCAACAGTCGTGCTAACATTGGCTAATTCTTAAGCTAACGTTAGCCAGGCTAGATATGCTAGCTTAGCTAAACCGGAGCTAACAGTCTCAGCACGATGAGACTTTATTCTGATATATATATATATATATATATATATACATAGCTCGCGACAGACAGTCACTAATAAATATTCACAAACCATGGTCGTCAGCTGGGTGTAACCAGTCGATCCAGTATATTCACAGCGACTCCCGTAAAAAAAAGAGAAAAGATCAGCACTCGTGTTTCAGGGCGCCGGAGCAGCGGCGGAAGAGGAAGATGACGTGTTTCCGGCGCAGAAAGGAAGAATAACGTTAGCACGCCCTCTCTCGGTGATACTGTAGTACTGCACCCAAATCACCTTAACGCTCAATCCCTTCAGTTTAAAGGTGTTTAAATAGGATTTAAAGGAAATATAAATTGATTTATTAAAGGTAAAGCACACAATGTGCTATTATAAATATCTATAAACATTGATTCAATTCTGTGATGTGCATTTTTTAACAATGAAAAAGACGAAAAGTACATTTTTGAAGACACATCAAATTCAAATGTAGTTTTGTGGTCTAAAAGTGCAAAAACTGCACACACCTTTCTCATATTAAAACATGCGTTTACATCTTAAATCTTTTCTAAATCAGCCAACACGGTCAATCAACAAACAACTGAAATACACACCATTACATTTTTTATTTAACAAGAAACAAAATATACAGGGCCAGATAAAAGTACTGCAAAAGACAAAAGAAAGGAAACATCTTTGGTTCCTTCTCATGGTCAATGAAGCTCCACATCTACCACGGGACCAGAGGTACAACGATTCTGTCCTGTGGGACAATGGAAGAAACTACGTCTGCCATTTCTATTTCAATTGAAAATGAGTCTATACGTTGACGCCTTGTTACCAATGCTACATATGAAGTAGAGCATAAGAATGACTGAAGAGAAATGCACGTGTGGGAGTCAAACTACGATTCAGAAGTCCAATAACTCGGCTCAGTCACTGCACCGCGTGAAAGCACCAGGAAGTTGCACAACATTACGTTCAATGTCCGACATCTATCGAGATTAATAAGCTTCAAACCTAAGCAAAAATAAAGTTCTGCTGTGAGATATGTTGTCTGTTTATACAATACATCCATGCGAGACAGTGGAGTTAATGAATATACATTCTCAGCTAAGTGCTCGTCAGTTGAGACAGCCACAGGAAAAGAAACAGACAAGCGTTGCATAGAGGTCCTCCAACATTCTAGTAGAAACCTGATAACAAGCTACTGCCATTACCAGGGATGGGAGGAGACAATCATAGCCATGTGTCTTACACAACCCTTTTATGGTGTTGTTGTTCCACACAAAGGTCCTTTGAACACACACACACACACACGCACACACGCACACACGCACACAAGCTCTAAGTGGTCGTCATTATAAGGTTATAAGCAGACATGTAAAAATAATGCAGCTAACAACTGAACTCAGGAAGGTTAGGAATGAAAAGTCATGAAATGAACACCGTATTACATTTTGTAAATGTGTAACAAGATCTATGTTATCGTGGTGTTCTGTAAAATACATACATTTCAACATCAGAGAGTATGCTTCAAACAATAAATACAAATGAGAAAAACTGCACAAAAGAAGCAGTGTGACGCAAACAAAGAATGATTTCCCTAAAACGGTCCACAAGAACTGAAAACTCTGAAACTAAAGAAAAGCGAATGAGAGAAATCTAGAGCGAGTGAGAAACGTCCTTCAATACATTTGTAGAATTCTAGATTATTTCTATGATATTAAGAATTGGACTGGCCAAAGAAATGATCATCTTCACATCCCCGTTAAGACTTCAGCAGAAAGAAAAACATTCAATTACTGGGAATGGATTTTAAAACATCACACACACACACACACACACACACACACACACACACACACACTGATGACTCCTCTTGTCATTTACCTGCCTGGCTTGTGTCATCCCGAGCAGCGCTGTTGCTTTTTCTCGCTGAGTTGTATTTGATGCAAATCAAAAAAAGGGAATGTGCAGTGAAACACAGAGGCAGCCGGTGCATTTACATGCACACTGTCAAGTAGTACTGATAATTAGATTATTACAGATTGCTGCTGCCGTCATATAAACAGGGTCAAGTTAAGGTGTAAGTTTCTAGCAGAGCTGGATAACTTCTCTTTTTTGAATTACTGTGATCAGTGAAGTCTGAACTCTGTCGATATTTTTGGTCGACTGAAAGCCACAAACAGCAGCATGTGAAACACGTCTTTTGGAGTGTCACCTTTAGTCACCTTAACGAGGTCATTCACAGTAACAGTTATGGTGTGCATGTAAATGTACTGACATAATGTACGCTATAAAGCCTGCAGGGCATGCTGGGAGGACACAAGTTAACCTTGCTATCTGATCTGCTTCTGGACCAGTGTTTCACATCACTTTCATCCAGCTGAGGAGGAGCGGCTTGCAGGCTGGTGGCTTCATATTAGGTGGCTTGATGCTGGAGGGGGGAGAGAGGAGGCCGTGAGCAGCGTTAGCTTCATTCAGCGACGGGCAGAGCCCTCGCCTCTTCTAGCGGGGCGTCTGTGTCCAGTTCTTGGTCACAGTGGCAGGACTGGGAGCAGGGGGCGGAGTCCGGGACAGGGAGGCTGTCGGGATGCAACAGAGAGTCTGTGGGCGGCGGAGAGGGGGAGTCGGTCTGCGGGTCAGAGGCGGGGGCGACGGCGTCCTGACCGCTGAGGTTCTGAACCTTCTTGTTGAGCTCGTTGCGTTCGACTTTCAGGGCCCGTCGAAGCTTCTCCAGCCGCTGCACTTTACCCTGGAGAGCTTCAAACTCAACGTCCCGCACAGACTTCTGGAGACGACACACACACACACACACACACACACACACACACACACACACACACACGCGATGCACACGTCAGCCTTTGATCAAATAAATCGCCACATCTGAACTGAATATCCATCATTATAAAAAAATAAGTACTGTATTCTGGCGATCTCAAAGTGGTCGGTCAACAAACAACCTTAAAAGCTGCTTTACCTCTTCTGACATCTCCATGAGAGCCTTGTTGCTGCTCTCCCACCTGGACCGATACATAGCCGTCTCCTTCTCCAGCTTCTTGATCTTTTTAGTCATCTGAGACACAAAAGGAAACACAACCGTCACGTCCTGCAAAAAGCGAATACAATTCGTCCTCTCAATCTTACGGCCTCGGACACCTCACCTTCTCCATCTCCTGTTTGAACGTGGTGAAGACTTCATTGCTCTTGGACAAAGTGGTCTGAAACTCTTCGAACTTCTCTGTGTACAGTGAGAGCTGAACAACAACAACACAACAGGTTTGATCATATTAGGATGCAAACATTGTCAATCACAGTCCGACTGTAAAAGGTGAAGAGTAAAGGCTTGATGAGAAACCTGCTGCTTGAGGTGAACTTCCTGCTGCTTCATTAGCTCACACATCCTTTGAGACTCCACGGCTTCTTTCAGCAGCTGAGGAGACCAATCCCGGGAACATATACGCATTAAAAACAGGAGGACACACACACACACAGTGCTTGTTTTTGTAAATGTGAGTCAGGAGGATAATTACAAAGTGTTTCTCTCTGTCGTGGCATTTCTCCGACTCCCTCAGCAGCTCCTGAGCGTGTTGCAGCTTGGCGTCCACCAGCTGCTGCTGCAGATCTTTGTGATTCACCAGTTTGTCTATGTGCTGGTCAGAGAAATACAAAGCCTGTCACACATCCCGTAAAAGGCATTCCGCTTGCAGTTTGAAATCAAAGAGAACTAAAGCCCTTAAAGGACGCCGTTGTGGAGGACAGTGCGCACAAACCTCTTCTCGTAGTTTGTACTGTTCGTACAGCTTCTTCAGTTTCTCGGCCAGCTCCGTGTTCTCTTGTCGGAGGCTGGCGTTCCTCTCGTTGTGCTGCTCCATCTGAGCCTGGATGTCGTTCAGCGTCACCTGGAAGTGGGAGGTCACCTCCTTCCTTTTCTCCTCCTCCAGACGCGTTCTTTGCATTCCCTCCTCCTGCAGACGGACAGAAGTTGAAGATAGAAGTGGAAAATGATGTGCTGCTTGTTTCCACTTTGAAAAGCTGGCTAACCTCAGAATCATCTTAAAGTGATCAATTCTGGTTATTCGGTAATGCACCTCAACAAACTACAGTTTAAAAAAACATCTGGAAAACAAACTTTTAGCAAATGCATCTCATGAAGGCAGCTAATCGAAGGAGTCAAAGACCCAAAACTGCGTTTAAATAAACTGATAAATACACAGAAACTGGACCTTAGACAGGCCACAGCTGCAGGAAGTCATTTATCGGATGGATGCAGCAGTTAGGAGTCTACATGCAGGACGCCGGTGCTGTTCCGTTACCTTCAGAGTGCGGTTGTGTCTCTGTAGCTCCCTGCAGAGACTCTCCAGCTTGCTGCGAGCCAGCAGGGCTTTGCTGTGCTCGTTCCTCAGGTTGTCTTTCTCCTGGACCACCTGGTTCTGCTTCTTCTGCAGCACCCGCATCTGCTTCTGGGTGTTGCGGTGCTCCTCCAGCTGTCACAGACACACAGAGGCATTTTGATGTTGTTCCACAAGATTGGACAGCTGATATTAGACTTGTTTTACCAAACAGGACGCCTCGAAAACAAAATGATGCCGTGTGTTAATTACATGTTACGGTTCATCTGTTTGGGGTCATAGACACTCGTCACTTGGTAATATTAAAACAATACTATTATCATCTGAAGTTAACTACTTTGTTTTCTAATAAGCTGTTCAACAAGTAGTAGAGTAGTAGTATAATTACAGTTGGGTATTATATATCTAAATATATCGATATTGGGATATGAGACTGGGTATCATCTTGGATTTTGGATAATGGTTTTAAAGGCTTCATTACAGTAAAGTGATGTAATGTTTTAACAGTCTGTTTTACTATTTGTCTTAACCCACGGAGTCAATATATCCACATTACTAATGATTATTGATCAAAAATAGCACCAATAGTGAACCCAAAAGTATCGATATCGAGGTATTTGTTAACAAATATTGTGATATTTGATTTTCTACAGATCGACCCCGTATGTAATGTGACCTACATTAACCGTACATTGCTTCCTTCGTAATGGGACTACAGCACATGATGCTAAAACAACACGGAGGCTTTGCTTCTCCTTTAGCCAATAGCAGCACAGCGGACCCATCTTCATCCATCAGCTGGGACACACACATCACACACATCAGCTTCATTCAGCTCTCGTACATCCAAACACACACACACACACGGTCTACCTCTCAAACGTTCATGCACACCAACCCACCGAAATGTTTTAAAGATCAACAGTAGTGCTTCGGGCTAGACTTTGCGTGAAACACTCACCAGTTCAGCGTACTTCTTACAGAGGCCTCCAAGCTTTTCCTCCGGGGTGCTCAGTGTGTTCAGAGTCTGCATGAGAAGAGTGATCTCTTTGCCTGTGTCAACAAGTTGAATAGAGACAGGACACAATCAGAGAGCCGGTTAGAAAACACATAACTAGCCTCCAAACTGTTAACAGTTATCTGTAATAAGCAATTATTAGAGATGCTCCTTACCCAGACCCTTCACTTTCTTCTTCTCCTGAGTCTTCTTCTGCCCTCCGTTGCCAGCTCCGTTGACTTTGCCCTCTGGCTTGCCGCCCCCCCGCTCGTTGCTCAGGCCGTTGAGCTCGGGGCTGTGTGACTGGCCGTTGGGCACGGAGCAGGCGTCGTCTGAAATGGTTTCCCGACAGTATGTGCTGAGGATGTCCTCCAGCTGCCGGCTCAGCTCCTCAGCCATGTCACATTGAGAAAGGGCCGCCTCTGCAACTAGACGCAGTAAAGGGAGGGAAAAAGGGACATTTTTTTTTTGTGAATTCTTGGAATCAGACGTGGCAAAAAGTTGAGGCACTTGCAGTGAAGCTTCAAAGACATTTAGTCTTTAAAATAACTCCAAAAATGGCAAGTGGCTGATAAAACACAATGTGATAAAAACAAAAGTAATTTACCAGTGTCTTTGCTGATGACTAGTGAGAAAGATGAACCAATTATTAAGGATTAAATATATCAATCATTGTTGTTATTAATGCTGATCTATTACAACTCAATGCACTCTAGCCATCCACAGTGGCAGGTAGGACAACTACGTCCTCTCCCAACAGAGACCATCACCGGTTCTCATGTAACAGAGACGGTCCTGTCAACAACGTACAATGTACCTGGTAAATAGTTCAAACTTTACCTTCACTTCCTGCCTCGTTGCCTTGTGAAGGTGTGACAGTCTGTGGAGACGTGTCCGTCTGTGGCGACGTGTCCGTCTGTGGCGGCGTGTCCGTCTGTGGCGGCGTGTCCGTCTGTGGCGACGTGTCCGTCTGTGGAGACGTGTCCGTCTGTGGCGGCGTGTCCGTCTGTGGCGGCGTGTCCGTCTGAGGTTCAGACTCTTTGGGGCTGTTGCTGTCCAAGCTGTCTTTTGCAGGTGACTCCGTCCCTCCTGGTGTCGGCGGAGCGTCCTCACCGCCCTGGGTGGCAGACTCTTCTTGTCTGTCTTGTTTTTTCATCTCTGGTATCTGTTACAAGTAGAAAAAGTCACGTACAGTTAAACTACTTAAATAAATTATATAAAAAAATGTACAATATATACAATAAAAATAAGAGTAAAAAATATTAAATATAAAAAAATGCACAATATGAACAATAAAAATAAGAGTAAAAAATATTTTAAAAAAGCACAATATATACAATGAAATATAATATTATATATCTAACTAAACAGTAGTGCAAAGATTGAACCAAACAACAAACATAGCTGCGTAGTGTTTGTCAAAGTTATTAAGTCACAAAACATCCTCTTTCTGGTGATAACGGACGTTACATTTACTAGATTATTTGCATAAACACGTTCAACCACCAGACTAATTTAAGTGGGACTTCGTAACACTTTCCTGTAAATTGGGTTAAACCTTCTCGTTACAAGAAGCACTACCTCATGTGTTCACGTATGTTTATAACACTAGCTTTAGCTTGCGTACTAACATATGCCATGACAAAGCTAAGCTATATTTCCTATTAAGAGTGCCAGGTCCTCGCTAGCTTTCGCTTTACTATCACGTTAGCTAGCACCTGCTAACGCTCGTTAGCCTCAAGATGCGTCGAAATTAGCTTGTAAATTAATTTGTTTTTACCTCTAAAAATAAAGACGGACTACAAACGTACTCGTCTGTGAATTATATCCCATGTTCTCTGATATTAGGGAGTTTGTTTACCTTCAGACTCAAAGGGGGAAACAGCTAGTGTGTGTCTGCGAACTGCGGGTTTCCACAACAGCGTGAGCCAGAAAAAAAGGAAAAAGACTTCCGGTGCTAACTTTTAATTCTTCTTCTTTTAGTTTATAAACGGCGGTTTACATCCCGAACTGGTACTTTTGTCGCCACCTACAGCAGCAATATGTGTACACGTAAATAAAAATAACTGTAAAAATATAAAAAATCAAATGCACAGTATATACAATAAGAATAACAGTAAAATAGTATATATAAAATGCACAATATATACAATGAAATAGAATATCAAATTAACTAACAATTATTAATGTCAAAATTAACCTTGCGTATATATTTTATAAATAATATGGATAGAATCCAGTAATACAATATTTATTTTAAAAAGAGAACCAGGACATTCTGATGTAGCATTTCAAAATTAAAGCCCTTCAAAATCACATTCATGAGACAATTTGTCTAATTTCAGATGAGATGGTGCAGAATTCATGGTTCCATCAATTATGGCAAGTCGTCCAGGTCCTGAAGCTGCAAAGCAGCCCCAGACCATCACACTACCACCACCATGTTTGACTGTTGGTATGTTGTTTTTATGAAATGCTGTTAGTTTTACGCCAGATATAACGGGACGCACACCTTACAAAAAGTTCAACTTTTGTCTCGTCAGTCCAAAGAATATTTGCCCAAAAGTCTCGGGGGACCATCAAGATGTCTTTTGGCAAATGTGAGACGAGCCTGTGTGTTCTTCTTGCTCAGCAGTGGCTGTCGCCTTGGAACTCTCCCCTGGATGCCGTCTTTCTTATTGTTGAATCATGAACACTGACCTTAACCGAGGCCTGCAGTTCTTTAGATGTTGTTCTGGGGTCTTTTATGACGACCTGGATGAGTCGGCAAATACTTTTTCACAGCACTGTATATACTGTAATACAGTAACATTGCATTGTGATCAAAGATGAAACATTTGCATTAAAGGGTTGCAACGTAACTTTATTTGTTTTGTACAGTATTTCCACTGAACAACTTTAAATTCAATATATTTTCCTTTACACGTTTTTTTTAATATTGTTGCCGTTTCCTGTATGCATTTGTTTTGTTTTTCATGTTCGTGTTTGTGTGTCGTGTATAAGTTTTCTCGTCACTCATTCATACCGTCGATAAAGTCAAGTCAAGTCACAGTTTTAAAGAGTAATTTAGAGCAGAGCGAAAAAAAAAAAAAAAAAAAAAAAAAAAAAAATCATAAACAATAGAGAAAAATAAATACATGTAAAAAGAAATGAGGACCAGAGCAGAGAATACACATCAGGACTGGTCAGTGGTGGCGTATGAAAAGTATTTTTACAAACATGTAGCATTGTAAACATTTGTAGCATAGACAACATGACCAAGCCAAGCGTGGCTTCAGATTTTTGATATTAGACTTGAACAGCTTCTAGGACGGAAGACGAGTCAGATTTGAGATATTTCGTGATGTCTGTTCATTCCCCTTTTAGATAACAAGGTTCCTGATCATGCAGCCAGACTAGGACTAAACACAATTATCCAAAAATATAGCCCAGAATATCCTGATCAGGAAAAAAAGATCAAGAAAAAGCAGGAAAGGCTTGTATCCTCAACTCCTATTTATTTTCCTCTCTTTTTATATTTTCTCCGTGTGACATGTTCCAATGAGGCTTTTACTCCACTTCTCAGAAGTGATTAGAATTGCATCTGAATCCCTGTCGATGTATCAGAACATACATATTAGTTTAACTTATAATACTTTTTAATGTAAATCACTGAATCCAGATTTTTAATCTTAGAAAAATGTCCAGTAGTTGCCTCGGTTAGCTTCACCTTTAGAGAGCCGTTAGCTAGTCGGTGGATCTGTGCCTCTGGGGTGCCTGATTTTGGACAATATAGTTATTGCAGTCTTCAGGATTATTTAGTTTTTTTTAACTCCCTGAAACAGTACTTGAACTTGAGAAAAAAATAAAACTGAGAAGAGAGGGACTGAGCTATTGCAGCTTCTAATGAAAAGAAGCAAGTTTTCAAATGGCCTGAAGCAAAAACTCTGTCATGCCGACTGGGACAAACCAAGTCTTATCGACTGGGTCAAACCAAGTGAATTACAATAAGTCGAGTATTGAAAACAAAGACATCAAGTAAATCCTTTCAACCAGCCTTCAGGATGACAAAACTTTGGTAAACTATGACAATAACGGTTAGTACCTGCAATTGTCTGCTATGATAGTCGTTTAAATTTCCACAATTTTGCATCATCTGCCACATGCCAGTACTAGAATATTTCCATCAGCGCTGAGTTTGAGGGGCCGGCTGTGGGGACCCCATGAAAATGCTAAATATTACACTCCCGTTTCCACCGCATGAAATCATTTGTATGATTCCAAAGAAACAGCTGCAGCTTAGCTATGCACAGTGAAAACCATTAGAAGACTAATAATGGAAAATAAGTAGCTGCAAAAGACCAGTTTTATGTAATTACTCAAGTCATTTCCCCACCGACAGAATTAAACTGCCTTAATTGAATTCCTTATTGAGGCGCCCACAGTAATGCATGCCACTCTTCCCATAGAATCAATGGCAAATAAGGTAACTTTAAAGATAAGGAAAATAGAGCAGCAATGTTCTGCACAAAACGTGTGCACATTCAAGTAAATAAGAAGATATAAAGAAAATAATCTACAAGTCAAAGACAGATACATAAGAACCTCCAGTCTTTGTTGGTCGGATTGGCACTTTTGTGAATAGGAGTTCATTTTTCAGAAATATAAATAGTTTTCTTCCTGGTTGATGCACTGATTTCTTTTCTTTTTTTTTTTCTTTGCAATTCTGGCGTTATTTGTAGGCCAAGCTCAGAATTAGCACTGAAATCGAAGACTTCAGGTATAAATGCGGTTCTACGCTATATCTGTCGTGTAGAGGCAAGTTCTTGATGCTCAATTATTCATGATTTGAACTCTTATGTCTTACCGGGAGCACACGTGTTCTGTGGATAACGTAACTCACTCGCTAACATATCAATGAACGGTTTAACCCTCGCGTGTAATAGCAGCCTGTTACACTAGAATATTATGTCAATGGAAGTTTATGGCTTATGTAAAAACATAATACTGAAAGAAACCAAATGGAAAAATCGACGTCCGTCTATCCAAAAAAGAAACCTCTTTGATGAAAGTGTATTTCCAAGTACACGCACTATTCAACAGACTAATCCAGAGTATTTTCGTTGAGATTAACATAATTCTGTTCACAGCTTCATGACTTAATATTCAGGCTGGTTCAGTGATCCACATAACCGGCGCTCCCAGACTCGGATCGGGACATAAGTTGTATAGAGTCAATCAAACCTCTTCCTCACACAGTGCCCGTCAGTCAAAACATCACACAGCCACAGTTCTGCTCAATCCACAAAGCTTGAAGCCTGATCCCAGATCAGCTCCTGTCACAGGCAAAAGGCTGATCCAGGGTCAGGGTTTACAGGGCTAATTCAAACCATCGTAAGTCATGTGGCTAGAAACAAGAAAAAAAAAAAAAAAGAAAGTTTCCATGACACCTCTTTGTGCACCGAATCACATTTGAATACGCAAAAACAAAACAACTACACTACGTGACCTGAAATCAAAAAACAGCCAAAACGGCAATTTTCACTCTCAAAGAAGAACTACTTTTTTTCTACTCCAAAGACGATGGAAACTTTATTTTTCTTGCCACTAGCCACTCATCTGTGAGAGGTGTGTGTACAGTGTCTGCTGGTGTTGTATGCAAGTGTGCATGAAGTGTGTGCAAATACACACTATTTGAATTTCGTTGTATTTGCGCATAT